GTGTGTTTGTTGGCATCGTTGCAGTTCACATGTGCACATATCAGAAGCCGTTTATCTGTCGCTACTCGCGCCTGTCTTCGCTGCTGGAGATGAACTCGCTGATGGCACAACACGCGCACAGAGAGGTAGGTTCTACGCTCTCTCTCTCTCTCTCTCTCTCAGTGTGCCTATCCTTCTCTCTTCCTCTGTCTCTGTCTCTCTCTCTCTCTCTCTCTCTCTCTCTCTCTCTCTCTCTCTCTCTCTCTCTCTTTCTCTCTCTTTCGACGTCGTTCGACCTCACAGCAGTTGTCGTCTTTGTTTCTGCTACACGGAATGTAGAAATTAGAGTCGTTCCACACACCCGTGAACGCGAGGGTCATTTCACTGCGTGTGCTGGGAGATGATTATCAGGGGGCCCGTTGTCAGAAACATCGTAAAGTTAACGCTAATGTTAATGCCAATATAGCAATTACGAGAATAATGCTAATGTTACGAGAATAGCGTTGACAGAAACACATCGTAGCCATGGGAAAACTTACGACAACAGGAACTTCATAATGATAATCATGATAAGGAGATGATAATTAGGGGGCCCGTTGTCAGAAACATCGTAAAGTTAACGCTAATGTTAATGCCAATATAGCAATTACGACTAATGCTAATGTTACGAGAATAGCGTTAAAAGAAACACATCGTAGCCATGGGAAAACTTACGACAACAGGAACTTCATAATTGGATGTCACAAGGGCTGCTGATGGGACGAGAATCGATCACAAAATTCAAATTCATACACATTTATTGTACATCACAGTAATTTATGCATATTATGATGGGTAACTACATATAAATAATATTTGCTGAAAAACGACGCGGTCATGAATTTATTCTGCACCACAAGACATGATTCTCACACTGTAACACGAGACGCGAAAGTCGTGCCCAGTGGTCGTGGCTCATCAAAATATTTAAAACAAGAGAACAAATGCCATACGCCATGTCAGAATGATCACAAGTAGCTAGGACTATCGTTAAGGAAATAGCTAGGAAATTCGTGATGTTTGCACACTGCAAGTATGCTCACAGTAGGTCTGTAATAGGCTAAAATAGGCCTTTTGTTGCGAATTCTATCCGGTTTAAACTTTGACAATAGACGCAATATTTCGGACAACGTCTCGCTTTCCCCCACACCCTTCCCTCTCCCCCCCCCCCGCAGGGTGGGGTGGGGGGTGCAGCGGCAGCCTCGCGGCCTCGTACTCGTGGGAGCTCTCGTCGCTGACTGACACCGTGCTCGTGCGTTCTCTCCCCAGGCGTTCTCTCCGACCGAGCTGAGCACGGCGAAGGATCGCGTGCGCGAGCTGCAGACCATACAGAACTGCCTCGACGACGCGTGGAAGGGTCGACGTTGGATCATGGACGTGCTGACGTACGCGCGCGACAAGCAGGTGAAGGGCGGCGTACCGCTGGGCGTGCTCTACGCGCCGCCACCGTCGCCCAACGACAGTCCGATGGTCGACCACCGACTCGTTTCGTCGTCGTCCGCCACCACTACCTCCGAGGATCACGGTGAGGGGGCGCTGCCGAGCGGGAGAATCGTCGTCGCTTGTTGATGTCTTGACCGCGAGCGACTCGTACTGCTGGCTGTTACTCGATGTGTGTGTGTGTGTGTGTGTGTGTGTGTGTGCGTGTGCGTGCGCGTGCGCGTGCGTGCGTGCGTGCGTGCATGCGTCTCTCTCTCTTTCTCACTCTCCCCCCTCACTTTGTTTCCCTCTCCTTCACTGTCGCGCTCTTTCTCTCTCTCTCTCTCTCTCTCTCTCTCTCTCTCTCTCTCTCTCTCTCT